TGCATGGATCTCTCCACCCCTGAATAAAGGCATATCAGACATCCTCACAGCTCTGTGAATTTTCTTCTGTCTGCCCAAATCCTGAGTGAACTTGCCTGCCCTTGAAAGGCTGCAAGACACATGTCTTCCTCAAGGCCAAAGCAAATGCCAGTGTCCAGAATTTGTTTTTTATATTAATGCTTAGTCCTTTACAGCCCACACAGCCAGCTTTAGGCCCCAGATGGTACACCCCCATGGTTGAAAGCTCCCAGGTGAGAGAGAGAGAGAGAGAACACATAGATGAATGTGGTAAGTTTGTACAGGTCACAGAGAGAGTAGAGGGTGGAAAGAGAGGGTGGGGGGAAGGGCTTGCATCTTTGTTCCCCTGGGATTATAATAGCTTGGGTTTGGGATGAATCAGGTCCTTTTTCAAAATAACAAAGCAACTTCCCAAGCTTTTGCTAGCTTTTTTGATGGGTTTAATTCTTAGCAGAACGACAGACCTCTATGATCAAGCACCTCCTTCTGCATCTCCCAAAAATCTGGTACTGGAGTGTGAGCCGTGCCCCTGGGGAGATTTCCCGTGCACATAGGATTAAGTCTTTTCAATGGCAGTTCCCTGGAGTGTGTGAATGAGTCTGTAAATGCTATAGCTTCCTGGCTTGGAAGGTGGCTTATGCTCTCCATTTATTAAACTCAATGTCTAATTCCCTTTGCTCTCTTTCTTATTAATAACTAAATACTTCTTTTAACATAACCTTTGCCCTTCACACAATTCTACTCCACAACTCCACACCCATGTCTAATAGATATCTCAAATTCTCTGTGTCAAAACTGAGTTTCTGATTTTCCTCTCTAAGTCTTCATTCAGGGATACTGCTCAAATATCAATGCCTCTTTAGGGATTAGAAAAGTTCTTTGACTGAATGCAGATCAAAATTTTAGCTGAATGAAGGCCAAACTGCATTACCATGTCAAAAAAGCATGCTGGCGACAGTAATCAAGCTAAGTGCATGTTATGGAGAGAATGTGGTCTATATTTTATTCCCCACTCACTTCCAGTCCTGGAAGGAATTGCACAGAGCCCAGTATGTACAACCATGTGCATTTGCTCTCCCTGTTTGGCTCCTCAAATTCTCCTCTTTCTGTCAATGGTGATTCCATTATTCTCTTCGTTCAGGTTACAAACTGAAATCCTTGAGTCACGTCATACAGTTCATCAGAACATTCTCATGGATCTGCCTGTAAGTAATGTCCAGAATCTAACTGCTGCTTTCACACCCATGGCTCCCACCCTGATACTGTTCACCTTCTTTTCTTCCGTTGATTATTATAGTAACCTCTATTTCCCTGTTCCTACCAAAAACTTATCTTCAGGAGTAAAAGTCAGATATTATAAAATTCTCCTACTACTTCTCATCTCCCACAGAGAAAATACTTTCAATTACCTACAAGAATGGCACAATTTGCCCAATTCCCATCACTTAGCTCTCTGAAGAGTTATCTTTCTTTCTCCCTCTTTGGTCTCCCAGCACCAGCCACACTGGTCCTCTTGCTCTTCTCTAAGCCACCAGAGCCTTTGAACTTACCCTTATTTTACCTATGGTGCTCAGCCCCTCCAATAGCCATATATCTTGTGTAGCAATCACTTCTGATTTTTGCTGTAATGACCCTTTCTCAGTAAATTCTATTAAACCACTTTAGTTACACTTCAATTCTTCCCTTACATGATCCAATGTCTATTTCTTACTTTACTTATCCTTATAGCACTTAAAAATCATCTGACCTAATCACATCTAAAGCAGGCCTTCCCTGGCCATGTGATCTGAAATTCCAAAACCCTGTAACACTGCCCTCTCGGTTCCTCCCTAGTATTTTTCTCTTTTATAATTACTACTAGTCCAAATTGTTTTATAATTTGTCATTTTTTATCATTAGTATCAGAAGTGTATCTGTAATCTTATTAAGTAGAATTACTAAGTACTTGGTGTTTCTTAGTATATATGTATGCATGCACCATTATTCTATTGTTATTATTCAATTTTTGTCATTCCTCAGGGTATGATCACAAAATATTTACATAAAAGTGCCTTTGCATTTGTAAAAATATTTTTACATTAAAAATAGCAGATATTACTCATGGTTTTTCCAAAAATTATTGCTATATCATACCCCTTATCATTTATGAGTATTCCAAACTCCCTATATTATCAACAATATTTTACAATATAACTCCACAAGTGTTTGCCAATCTGAATAAAAACTCTGTAAATTTGTTTAATGTAATTTCAGATCTTTATTGGACCTTAGCCATTTTCATGACTTCATTGTGATTTAAATATTTGTATAATTTGAGCATATTTCTATTTGGTTATTTGTGCTTTTGTCTCAATGATTTTGAATAGCTTTTGATATATTTTATGTATAAACTATTTGTTATTTGTGTTACAAATGCTTTTCCTGGGCTGTTATTTTATTGAACTAAATGCTGTGTTTTTCTTTGAAGTTGTTTTTTAAAATTTATAGTTTTTAAAAAATTTTTTCATTTATGTCATGAGTTTATATTATGCCTATTAATTTTATACCAAAATTGGAAATATAAATCTTACATAGATAAAAAATATATATTTTATTTTTATTTTTTAATTTTTTATTGTTCAATTACACTTGTTTCCATTTTCCCCCACCACTTTCCCCTGCCCTACCACCCCCACCACCCACCCTCAATAGATAAAAATATATACTATTCAACTGAAATTTGAAGTATATACATTTAACAGTTATATGTCTTTACTTTTTCTGTAAAAAAAGCCAGTGATTCCAGCTCCATTTAACAATTTATCTATCAGTTTCTTGATGATATAAAATATTTCATTTATCACTTAATAAAACTACATATATACATGGATTTGTTTCTGTCCTTTTCTTATGCAGTATTTCCCCAAGAATATATTTCCTTAATAACCGTAGCTTTATACTGTATTTCTATGAGTGCCAGAGCACTTCTTTCTCCCTTTGTTATACATTATCAAAATTCTCTTGCTTCCTTGTGCCTTTCTTGTTTAGATATCCTTCCCAAAACTTATATTAGGCAATAATCATTTTTTTCTACAAAGTATGGATTAACTTTACCCATAGTAAAATTTAGTGAAGCAAAACATATTGAATTTACTTACTTTTAAATGAGTTAACTAACAATTCTGTTTTTAAATAAAGTATTTGTAATACATATGATTGTTTTCTTACCATATTTGTTTTTTACTGTGTAAAACAATGAATGCTACTTAAACAATTCCTTACTTAATGAAAATCAAGTATTATGAAAGAGCTTTTATATTAATCCACAGTAAAATTTTAGTTAATTCAGAAAAACAATAACCTTCTACCTCTTCCTTTAAGTCAGACCACAAGAGAAAAAATGTGGCAAAAAATGTCTAAAATCATTATTTTTTCTCAGCATACCTTTCTTTTAATTCTTTTCATGTATTTAGAAAGAGAGAAGTAAAACCATAGGTACTAAAATCAAAAATTTTTTTTGTTTGTTTTTCTGCAGTATCTTTTCTCTTTGACCTTTTCCTGAGTCTCCACATCCCTTGAGTATTTAAAATGGTGGCCACCTGCTTTTGATACTGCTGGGGCTCTTGGATCTGCAATTTGGAAATGCTGGCTTATCTTCCTTCTCGAGCTCTGATTGGCAGCCTGCACCAGGACTTTCAGTTATATTACTTCATTTCCTAAATAAAAACACTCTACATTATTTTTCAACAGCCATCTGTCTTTTTATATTAGCATGGTTTCTACTCTCTTTTTTGCTAAATGATTCATGTCAATATCTTTCTTCCAAATAACAATTCTCCTGTAGAGATCCATGTTCAAAATTCTCAAAACACATTATATTGTAATTCTCCACTATCCAGTTTCTTTATCTCAAGGGTTCTCAGTTTCTGTTGATATTATCATCATTATCTTGGTCACCTCTGCTTAATATTCATGATTTCATCTCCAGTTCTCTCATACTAATTTCAAGTATCTTATAAAGAAAAACTATAATTGAATCTTCTTTTAAAATATTTTATTTATTTCTTTTTAGAAAGAGGGGAAGGGAGGGAGAAAAAGAGGGAGAACATCAATGTGTAGTTGCTTCTCATGCACCACCCCCAACCACTGGGGACCTGGCCCACAACCCAGGCATGTGCCCTTGCTGGGAATCAAACTGGTGACCCTTTGCTTCACAGTCCAGCACTCAACCCACTGAGCCACACCAGCCAGATATAATTGATTCTTTATGATATTTTTCCATCTTTTCTTTCCTATTGCAACCATCACCACCATTTTCTAGACTGATATCACTTTGCTAGAATGTTCCAATAGTTTTATGCTATTCCTCCTGAATTTAAAAATATGTCTGCCAACACAATTTCCAAAAATCATTTTGCCACTGCTCTTCTAAAGAAAAATAGTATCTCTTCAATAAATATTTATTGAATGCCTGGTTGAACTTTCACTGACTCCCCATTACCAATTACTTGTTGATAAAATGTTTCATGATGGCAATTAAAATTTTTTTATTCTGTTATAATCGTATCCTTTCAGATATCTCAGACATAGCCTCGAATTTCCTCACTGCCCTGTGACACATCCATAATTATGTCTTTGCATTCATAACTTATCATGTACACCAAAATTACTTTAGTTCCTTTCATTCAAATTCTGTAGATCTTCCATGTAGAAATACAAAATGGATTTTCCATAGAAAGTTATTTAATTTTTAAAGTTCTCTAGGCTTTTTCCTTGTTTAAAATGTCTGTACTAAATGTCTGTACTCATCGAACACATTTATTACTCATTATAGTTACGTGTCTACATATTACGTTTTCAAACAAACTACAAGCTTAAAATGTCTGAGTTATAGCTTGCCTTATTTATTTATTTATTTTTATTTACTTATGTCTCTCACAGCTTATTGCACAGTGTCTTTTAAAATTCTAGCGCAACGTGTCATAATAGAAAGAACACCGGGGGTGCTCACTTTGGAATCACATATACTAAAAAATTGGAATGATATGGAGAAGATTAGCATGGCCTCTGCACAAAGATGAAAAGCATATTCTGGAAGTGTTCCACAGTTTTCAGACAGGGTCAATATCTGACACCATCAGAAGCAGATCTAGAATAAAACACAGCAGTCTCCTACCACAGAAGTTCACACCACAAAGTCAGGAAGTCAAGACAGGTCAATTTAAGAAGCAGAAGCAAAAAAAGAAGACACTCACAAATAATGGGAAGTCAAAGAAATACCCCCATAATTGAAGGGAAAGGAGGAATCCTCAGAAAAAGAACTAAATAAAATAGAGGCATGTAAACTATCAGATACTGAGCTTAAAACAATGGTTCTAAGGAAGCTCAATGAGCTCAGCGACCTCAGAGAGAATTACAAAAAACTACAGAGAAACTAGGAGGATCTTACTGAAAACTATATCAGCATGAAAAAGGACATAGAAACTATCAGTGAGAGAAAAGAAGAAATAAAGACTACAATTTCTGAATAAAAGAACACAGTAGGAGGAATCAAAAGCAGGCTAGATGAAGCAGAGGATCAAATCAGCGATCTGGAGGATAAGGTAGAAAAAAGCTCCCAGAAAGAGCAAGAAAATGAAAAAAAGACTCAGAAAGAATGAAGAGACATTGAGGGAAATGCAGGACAATCTGAAACATAATACTATCCATATAATAGAGATAGCAGGAGAAGAGGATGAGGAAGGGATAGAGAACCTGTTTGAAAAAGTCATGATAGAAAACTTCCTAAATTGGAGGAAAAAGACACACAAGTCCAGGAAGCACAGAGGGTCCCAATCAAGAAGAACCCAATGAGGCCCACTCCAAGACACATCATAATTAAAATGGCAAATATCAAAGACAAAGAAAGAATCCTAAAAGCAGCAAGGAGGAAACAGGTAGCAACATACAAGGGGACTCCGATATGACTAGCAGCTGACTTCCCAACAGAAACACAAGCCAGAAGGGAATGGCTATAAATATTCCAAGTCATGAAAAGCACAGGTCTACAATGGTCACTACTATACCCAGCAAAGCTCTCCATTAAAATAGAAGGCAAAATAAAGAGTTTCCCAGACAAAAGAAGGCTAAAACAATACACCTCCCCCAAACCAGCATTCCAAGATGTGCTAAAGAGACTGTTTTAAGAGGAGGTAGGAAAGAGTGAGAAAGAGAAGACTGGTACAAAGGGAAAAAATGAATAAGTACCTATCAATAATAACTTTAAATGTAAATGAATTAAATGCTCCAATCAAAAAACATAGGGCAGCTGAATAGATGAGAAAACATGATCCATATGCTGCCTACACACATATGCTGCCTACACACATATGCTGCCTACAACAGACCCATCTCAGAACAAAGGACCTACACAGACTCAAAGAAAAGGGATGGAAAAAATATTCTAAGCAAATGGACAGGAACAAAAAAAAAGCAAGGGTAGCAATATTTATATCAGACAAAGTAGATTTCAAAGCAAAGGCCATAAAAAGAGACCCAGAGGGACACTTCATAATACTCACAGGAAGAATCCATCAAGAAAACATACACTTTGTAAATCTATATGTCCCCAACATAGGAGCACCCAAATATATAAGGAAAATCTTAGAGGACTTCAAGAAAGATATAGACAGAAACACACTGATAATAGGAGATTTTAAGACCCCACTGTCCTGTCAACAATGGATAGATCTTCCAAACAAAATATCAACAAGGATATTGTGGAACTGAATGACACATTAGATAAAATGGAATTAACTGAAATGTATAGAACCTTTCATCCCAAATAAGAAAAATACACATTCTTTTCAAATGTACATGGAATATTTTCGAAGACAGACCGCATGATAGCACACAAAACAAACCTCAAAAAATTCAAGAAAATTGAAATCATAACAAGCATTTTCTCAGACCACAAGGGCTTAAAACTAGAAACCACCCTTAAAGAAAAAACTCAAAAATATTCAAACTCATGGAGACTGAATAGCATGCTATTAAACAATGAATAGGTCAATAGTGAGATCAAAGGAGAAATAAAAAATTTCTGGAAACAAATGAAAATGAACATAAAACAGTCCAAAACCTATGGGATACAGCAAAGGCAGTCCTGAGAGGAAAATTCATAGCAATACAGGTCTACCTAAAATGATGGAAACATTTCAAATAAACAACCTAATCGTATGGTTTCAAGAACTAGAGAAACAGCAACAAACAAAGCTCAGAGTGAGCAAAAGGAAGGAAATAATCAAGATCTGAGCAGAATTGAATGACATAGAGGCCAAAAGAACAATTCAAAAGATCAACCAATGCAGGGGCTGGCTCTTTGAAAAGATAAAAAAAAAATCAACAAGCCTTTAAGCAGACTCAACAAGAAAAAAAGAGAAAGGAATCAAATAAATAATATCAGAAATGAAAGAGAAAAAATAACAACTGATACCAAGAAAGACAAAGGATTGTAAGGAATTACTATGAATAATAATATGCCAAGATATTTGAAAACCTCAATGAAGTAGACAAATTTCTAGAAAAATATAACCTTCTAACCCTGAATGAAGAAGAAGCAGAAAGCCTGAACAGACTGATAACAGATGGTGAAATTGAAGCGGTAATCAAAAAACTCCTGACACACAAAAGCCCTGGATCGGAAGGTTTTACAAGAGAATTTCACAAAACATTTAAGGAAGAGCTAACCCCTGTCCTTCTCAAATTTTCCTAAGAATCCAAGAAGAGGGAAACTCCAAAACTCTTTTGTGAGGCCAGTATCATCCTAATCCCAAAACCAGATCATGACACAACAAAGAGAGAAAGCTACAAGCCAATATCACTGATGAACATAGATGCTAAAATCCTCAACAAAATGTTGGCAAACCACATCCAGCAATACATTAAAAAGATCACCCACCATGATAAAGTGGGACTCATCCCAGGGGTGCAAGGATGGTTCAATATTCAGAGATCAATAAGAGTACTACATCATATAAACAAAGAAAAGACAAAAATCGCATGATCATATCAATAGATATGGAAAAAGCATGTGATAAGGTACAGCACACATTTATGATAAAAACACTCAGCAAAGTGGGAATAAAGGGAGCATACCTCAACATATTAAAGGCCATATATGAAAAACCTACAGCCAATATCATACTGAATGAGCAAAGACTAAAAGGTTTCCCACTAAGATATAGGAAAAAGACAAGGATGTCTGCTTTCACCACTTCTTGTCAACATACTATTGGAAGTCCTAGTCATAGCCATCAGACAAGAACAAGAAATAAAATGTATCTAAACTGGAAATGAAGAAGTAAAACTATCGTTTTTTGCAGATGACTTGATAGTGTACATAGAGAACCCTATATACTCCACCAATATGCAAAAGACTACTTGAACTAATAAGTGAATTTGGCAAAACAGCAGGATACAAGTCAATGTTCATTAATCAAAGACATTTTTGTACACCAACAATGAAATATCAGAAGCAGAAATCAGGGGAAAAAAATCCCCTTTCCTACAGCAACAAGAAAAATAATGTACCTTGGAATAAACTTAACCAAGTAGGTAAAAGACCTGTATTCAGAAAACTACACAACACTGAAGAAATAAATTAAGGAAGACACAAATGAATGGAAGCATATATGATGTTCATGGATTGGAAGAATTAACATCATCAAAATGACCATACTACCCAAAACAATTTATAGATTCAATGCAATCCCTATTAAAATACCAATGATGTATTTCACAGACACAGAACAAACATTCAAAAAATTTATATGGAACCATAAACGACCCCAAATAACTGCAGCAATTTTGTGAAAGATAAAGTAAGAGTGATCATAACACCTGATATCACACAATATTACAAGGCCACTGTAATCAAAACAGTCTGGTATTGGAGAATAACAGGCACTTAGATCACTGGAACAGAGTAGAGAGCCCAGAAATAAACCCATGTCTCTATGGTTAATTAATATTCTAGGAAGGGGGCAGAAACAATTGTTAAAGTGGTGTAACAATAGCCTCTTCAATAAATGGTATTGTGAGAGCTGGATAGATACATGCCAAAAATTGAAATTCAACCACCAACTGACACCATACACAAAAATAAACTCAAGATGGATAAAAGACTTAAGAAGAACTTGTGACACCATAAAAGTCCTAGAGGAGAACATTGGCAGGAAAATCTCAGATATTCAACTCAGCAATATTTTCATCTATATGTCTCCTAGAGTAAGAGACATAAAGGAAAGAATAAACAAATAGAACTTCATCAAAATAAGAAGCTTCTGCATGGATAAGGAAAACATCAGCAAAATGTAAAGAGAACCAAGCATATACGAAATATATTTGCCAATGGTGTCCTGGACCACAATTTGATCTCCAAAATATGCGAAGAACTCACATGACTCCACTACAGGAAGACATACAATCCAATTAAAAGATGGGCAAAGCCATGAACAGACACTTCTCCAAGGAACCTAGGAGACATTTGAAACACAGGGCCTAGAGACATTTGAAAAGATGCTCATCATCACTAGCCATCAGAGAAATGCAGGTTAAAACCATAATGAGATACCACTTCTTAGAGGTCAGAATGGCCATCATAAACACATCAACAAACAAGTTCTGGCGAGGCTGTGAAGGAAAAGGGAGCCCTAGTACACTGTTAGTGGGAATGTTGACTAATGCAGCCACTGTGGAAAACAGCTTGGAATTTCCTCAAAAGGCTAAAAGTGGAGCTGCCTTTTCACCCAGCAATTTCCCTACTGGGATTATACACTAAGAATCTCAAAACACCAATTCAAAAGAACCTATGCACTCCAATGTTCAGATCAGCCAAGTGCTGGAAGCAACATAAGTGCCAACAGTAAATGAGTGGATCAAAATGTATGGTACATTTACACAATGGAATACTACACAGCAGAAAGAAAGAAAGAGCTACTATCCTTAGCAACAGCATGGACAGAATTGGAGAGCATTATGCTAAGTGAAATAATCCAAGGAGTGAAAGACAAATACCATATGATCTCACATGTAAGTGGAATCTAATCAACAAAACAAACAAACAAGGAAAA